CTGAACGGGAATTCCCGAGGGAGACTCCCAGTCTCCCGACAGCATGACCCGCCGATTCCTCCAAGACTTTTGGGAGGTCGGCACGGCGCTCACAAAGTGCCCTCGCTCAGAGGCCCTAAGGCAGTTGGCTTGGACCCAGCCACCACGATCGGCACTCTTGGACTTCGTAACGCTGTAGAGATACGAGAACTGCTCGTACGTGGGCTCCCCTTCTCCAGCCATACCGAAGGCAGTGACTACCCCCATCAGAGCCACCCAGAAGTTGGGGTTGAACTGGCCCGGAGCATACCCGATCTGGGCCAGAATCTTCTGAACGGCAGGCTGCTACGTGGGCTCCCCTTCTCCAGCCATACCGAAGGCAGTGACTACCCCCATCAGAGCCACCCAGAAGTTGGGGTTGAACTGGCCCGGAGCATACCCGATCTGGGCCAGAATCTTCTGAACGGCAGCCTAACTCCTTGCATAAGGACGTCGGTAAAGAAAGCGACTTCACCGTCCTTCGGGCCACTCAAGGACTCGGTAGGGCCTGGGATCCTCATCCCTACCGAATCAGGAATCCTATACTCCGCCCGGATCCTAGCCAACTCCCGATATGTCATCTTGTTGGGTTCCAGGTAATCCACTGCAAATAGGACTTCCTTCGGTACCCCTATTGGAACCTTGGGGACCCCCCGGTTGACTATGGTGACCTTCGGCATAGAAGAGGTGCCGGCGGTCGTCCGCTCACGGCCAGATGTAGAGGCCTCCGCTCGGTATCCGCCTTGCTGCTCTGGAGTCCGGACGTCCTCTTCCAAGGGCCCGGCATGCTCGCCCAAACAAACCTGCCTACCGTCGCTGTAAACTACCTACAACGGCATCGGTTGACTGGTCATAAGCCCCTTGCCAATCCCATGAAAAAGGCCCTGACCTGACTCTCTCACCAACTACTTCAACGTCGGAGTCACTGTTGCTCTCGGTATCAGGACCCGACTCCTCACTCTCGGTATCCCTTCCTCTGTCTGGGGACTCCCCATCATAGGCGTTGGGCTCGCTCTCGAACCCAAACTCACTATCAGACATCTACAAAAGCAAGGAAAGAAAGCTAAAGGGCTATGCCGAAGCACTATCCTACCGATGCCTACGCCTCTGCCTATGGCAACTAGACTACCGAACCACACCCCACTTACATAAAGTTCTAGTCTAGTTCAAACCAAGGAAGGACGTACGCATGAATAAAGAAAAAGGAAGAAGGAGAGTTGCCGAACGGTACCTTGTATGAGCTGGTTGAGAAGATGTGGAAATCGCCTTGATTACCGATGACCTCGCCGGAAATCGCCTTGGTCACCGATCGTTCACGTCAGAAATCGCCTCGTTTGCCGATAACACTCGCCGGAAATCGCCTGGACAGAGCTTCCGCTTCACTCACAACGCAAAGTGAACAAATGCTTCAGAAATCATTCCTATTTATAGAGCTGGGTTTCCAACGGTACGCCTCGAGAAACCAAACGGCGCATTAATGGCGCCGCTCCGCGTGATAAGACACGCCACGTGTCGAGCGCTGAACGGAATCTCTGACAGCACGCTGGGTGCAGAAGACGAAGCGTCGTTCTGTCCCATCATTACCCCTCACCGTGCGCGGGGTCGCATGAGAAGATATCAAACTCGCACAAGTTAACAGGGCATCGGCAAGCATCTCTCAGAACCCTTTAAACATACCAAGACCTGCCGAACGGTAACCCTCGAGGTGGCAACTTTTGAGTTCCCGGGCAAGTCTTTGAAGTCGATCGGCACCAAGACAAGGCCCCAGCGCGCCTCCCTGACAGACTACCGAACGGTAGGCTAACCGAGTAATTACCAAAAGGCATACAAGTCCCCAACCGAGAAATCTCGCTCGAGAACTTGGGGGACTCCTGTTTACACC